TAGCTGTCAACAATAAAATTACTTATTAAATTCATTTATCTACATTTTTATGCGAATTTATGCAAATTTATTTATTATTTGTTATGTTCTACAAATAATTTTTCAATGCGTAAAAATTATTGGGCCTTTTGGAAAATTAACAATAATTTTTCTTTTTTAAGAAAATGCAAAAATAATTTTTTATTTTTTACTTAATTGTAATCTTATTCCACAAACTTTCACTATCTTCCTTGTACACAATTCGAAGATTTTATTCCCTAAAACTTTCTATAAACTTTATTTCAGAGATAAATTCTCCAGATGCAGCATTAATCTCGGAAAGAGCCCAAAGATTGACATTTGTTAATTCATTTCCACTGTTTACATTCTATCCCCTTACTTACATTCTAAAGACCATTTGTGCATCTCATTGAGAAAGTTGGCAGGCACCTCGTACTTCCGATCCCGTATCTTTGCTATTCTACAAAATAAGAGGGAATAAGTCGCTTTATAATAGTTAAAGTAGGACGCGAAACGCATAGTTGAGTAGGCGGGCAAATGGCGAAAGCTAGAAATAAGAAGACTCGAAAAAGGTCAGGTATCATTGTTTGCGCTAAAGACGGCGTTTACGAAGTAATAATAAAATTCGGCGAACCTGTGAAGGAGTGCCATGCTCGCTTCTTCGATCGCGCTGATATACATTCTCGCGATTCGCGGCTGCAGCATCACATGCTGCACCTTGCTCCGGAAATTATACCAACTCTCACCGTGGCTGCAACATAGAGAGAAGAGATGAATCAAGGTTGTATAAACGGCTGCCATTCTTCCACCTGTCAAATGAAGAACGATTCACCTTGAGAGCGTCGAGCATTAGAAACTTAACAACGCTCGCAAAACGAAAGTGTTTGGAAGGTAAACGAAACATTTTTGCCTTATTATAGATTAAGAACGCATTTCAGCTGTTATATTTAATAGATGCATGAAATTGCATTCAATTGTATGTCAAAATAAATTATTTTATATAAATTACATGTTTTACAAAGAGATAAAAACGTAAAATAATTTATTTTTAAAATAAACAGAATTCTAAATTTATCTTTTGATAAACTGCGATATTTTATTAATCATAATATGTAATTTAATACGTATTTAATAAAATTTATTGCTAAAAATTTTCATTTTTTGCTACTAAAAAAATAAATCAGAATTCTGATGTTTTTCAGCATCTCATAAATTGATATCTTTACATACATTAATATCTTTATGTAAATAAAGTTTATGTGAATCATGTTTCTAAATATTCCAACAATAGCGTAAAATCCAAAAATAGTGTATTTTTCATTTTTTAAAAAAATTCTATTTTTGCAAATATTTTAAATTGTGTATAAAAAAGCAAAAAAATCTTTATATAAAAAAGTAATAACAAGTCTTTAACATTCTTTTTTTCAACCGTTATTTGAAGAAACATTATGGCTCATCTCGCTTAAAATTTTAATTATATACGCAAAATCATACACTATCTATTTTATTATATTTTTAAATGCCTTATCTTAATATTGCGATAAAAATAATTCTGAGGGCGTAGATTTAAAATACGACTTACACGGCAATGACACCCGGATTATCCTGAAAGAAATCCTTTCGCAGTACATGCTTGTAGTAATCGAGCGACGGCATGGAAGGTCGATAGGGCATTTTTTCTTCCCGCCGAAAAATTCGCTCAATTTCATCTGCATCGTACACGAACACCATGTCGGGCCTACCTAAAAGGCCTTCTATCTTTACGATATTGCCATACTGGGCGTGCAGTCTTCTTGACAGCTTGTCTATCGTCTGTATATCGAAGTTTCCTGAAATGTAATTTTTTATTTATACAAAATGTCTCATTTTTAAACAGTTTAGCCGAATATTTCGAAGACTAAACTCGGCAGACAAAAATATTTCAGATACTTAAAAGTTGTATTTTAAAAGCGATCGATCTTTTATTTTTTATTTCTTCATATTATTTTCTATTTTGATAATCTATTCGTGGAACATTTGTTTTCAAAATTATGTGGCTGCTATATAAATAAATGTATCTGATTGCGAAAAGTACACGTGACTCTTTTAATATTTGATGTATGTATATATACATATATGTATTGCTGTGTGTATTCTTACAATTTTTAAGTAAAATGTTTTCCAGGCAAATACTCGTTACGCGAAGTCAACAATATTTGCGATGCGGTTCGTTAGCAATTTCATCAACGCTACGCAAACAGACCGGTATTTACACATCTTAATGCTTTGAATAAATTTGAAAAGGAAAACCATTAATTACAATATGAAATGATTTTATCGCTCTATTGAGTAGTTCTAAAAGAAAGGTAAAAGAAACAATATTTGTTGGAGAATGCTCGTAATGTAGTGGATCGTGGTAGATAGGCTGGACTCAGTCAACGGAAGGTCGACAGACACACGAACAAGACGTGAACGACCGATAGAGTTTAAGAATCTTTATTTCGTATTGACAGAAGTTTACTGAGCGCTCGCTATTGTAAGACTGACTGTAACGTTACATATTACATCCATCGGTATGACCTCACATACATACACCGAATTTACCTGTGTTAGTAGGTCAACAGACTAAATCTTTACCTTTGGGCATGTTTATGGATTCTAATGACCTAATTCGGTTCTAACACGCGTGTACAAAACAAATGTATGTGAGGTACCGAGAGAAGGCCGCGTGCGGGAAGTGTCGGAGGAGCACACGTGTATCCTTTCACATCGCAAGATTTCGAAATAACGGAATAAATTATTTGTGAGTTTTGAGTTTATCGATGCGAGAATAAATAAATAGCATTCCGCAACAATATTCAAATCAAGATTTAAGACATTGATGAAATTCCCATTGGACATTCTTGAAATAATACTTTATTTAAATTGCTTATTCACTTTTATTCTTTAGATTTTCTATTTAAAAAATGTAACGCATACTTTTAATATATTAAATATTATGTAAAGAATTACATATAGAGAATTTAATATAATGAATTCAAAGATGAGTAATAAAAAAATGTCAAGAAATTTTCAGTAATATATACAGATATTGAAATTAAAATGGGACACTTTGTACATGGCATTTCTCGTTAATAAAATATCTTCAAATATATTCTCACTTTAAAGATTTGTGGCATCAACTCATTTCTAGAAAACACTTCAGGCAAATTATGTGAGCAACAAAATATTAAATAAATAAAGATATAATCAGGTACATTAATGATGTCTGGTGATGTTTGTATTTATAAAAATACTTCACAATATATAAATCATCGATTCTTTTCGAATTCTCTTTGTTCTTCGAGTTATGGGAGAAAACCACTGTGCTACGTTCTCTTGAAACTGTCTCTCTCAACGAAGAAGATGAGAATTAAATTAAGGCAGGTGAACTGTATGTACAATTATGTAAACGAAAAAGTACGTTTTTGAAATTACTGAAAAATTTGATTAGTGACCACAAACGATAATGTGTACACACGGCGAATCGAAGGTGCTAAAATTCTCCTCTCTTTTCCTCACCCTTCTTCCTCTTCTACTTTTATTAGTAGATTCTTTTCATAATTATCATCTTCACTTAGGACACATTGACGCGCTTTCACTTCTCTATCTCTGTTTTTCGACGGACCATTTTAGTTATCATAAAAACTGCCGAGCCGTAAATAACTTTAGCTCATTTCGATTTCTGTAAAAACTTACCGTAGACGGGAATACGTGCTAAAAGTTTTCAACAGCAACGGATCGAGTTTATGACTCTGTAATAGTCGTGCCATAAACTCTGTTTCTAAGAAAAATAGATTTATTTCATAACTAAAATAAGAAGCAGCGTGAAATATGTACTCGTTTTACTGAATCGATCAGTTACAAAACAGAAATAATTATAACTATTAAAAATGTCCCCTTTTTATCTTATTTCAAATTTTTTCAAACAATCGGTCTTCAAACTCACAGAACACGTGAAACCTCAATATCGACATTACCTTCATCAATTATTTTTTTAAAATCCCGATATTTCGGTGAGACTTAGAATAAGCTCTTAAAATTTAGAAGAACAAATTTTTTTGAGCTTCACCGAAATATCGACACTCAAGACCGACCTGGTGAAGCGTCGAAACTCCGCACGCTGCGAGAGTTTGAAACCCGACCGTTTGGAGTATAAACTGAAAAAGTGAACATTTTTTTACAATTAAGTCAATTTAATAAAATATGCATACTTTCACACTGCTTTTTTATTTTACCCATTAAAAAAATTATTTTTTCTCAGGAGAGACAAAATTTATGGCATGATCATGTACTGTCCGCTTCCGAAAAATTGCTTTGTACCTATGTAAGGTAGAAATCGCCAAGTGTTGCCTAGCAAGGGAATTGGCTTAGGTCCTGGGATCTCCGAGTACGGGCGATGTCGTAACAAACCCTGTCCCTCGATAGCTAGCGTGTCCAATGCTCTGTCGGTTTTCTTGTCGATTCTGACGAATCGACGCAACAGCCGCCTCGCGTGTTGTCTCAACGTGGTCATTTGTGGCCTGTGGAATAAAAAATAATTGTAAAATAGCCACTTATATAGGCTAATAATGTTTATCGAGCGGAACCGTAATTATCGTAGCATGTACGTTAAGAAAGTCAGTACGAGTTAAGTACAGAGTTCAAGGAAGATATCTGAAAAGTAAAATTAATTTCTTTCTCCTAATATTACGCTGCGGCTAACAGTAAAATCAATATTTATTTATATATTTATAGCGTGCATAAAAATTACCTAAATTTTCATTTATATCTGAAAATCTTACAAATATTATTCTTAACAAGAATATATTTTCCACTATATATTTTCATTAAATAGAATATTATCATATCTTTTATTATATTTCTTCAACTTTACTTTTTATTTTTTTTTTTACATTTTGTTTTAAACAGTTAATAATTACGTGCAATATAGATTTTATTCAAGAAAACTGACTGTATCGATTTAAAAGCATTCTTCACATCCTCGTTTAGACTTCAGATATTTTGCACGCAAATTTTGCGCCATAAACCAGGCAACCGGTTCTGCATAGCGAGTGCAATCAGCAATACATGACATAATAAGCGAAATGTAATGCAACATTCTTACGCGGTAAGATAACAGGTGTATCCCTTGTTATTAGACGCATTTGAGCGTAAAACGCTAATTTCGAACATTTTCGCAAAAGTGGGCGGATTCCAATTGAATCAAGCCTAGTCTATAACTCAGGCAGAAAGTGACATTTTATGTTTCTGAATTCATTTCGTGAATATTCTATACTTTCTAGAGCTGCATGCATTGCAAATTTATTACATAAATATTTTATACTTTCTAAAGCTGCACAAATCTTTCGTTTATATCAATTTTAGTAACTCTTAAGTAGTTGGATTTGGACAGTTATATAATGTCTGTAATCGTCTCGATGAATTTTTCAAGAAATCAAAAGATATACGGTCTTATTGAAGATATTTATTTATTTATCAATATCAAAAATTATTATTAATGGAGCTCTTATATCAATTTTTTATATAAGTCATCTCTCTTAATATCATCATTCTTAATATTATCATTTCTTCCGAAATAAGTAATAAAATATTTTTAAAAACCCAAAATTTCATAGTTGTATTAAAAAACCCGAAAACAAATAATAAATCATATTTACAAATAAAAAATTTAATGTATTACAAAGCCAAAAATATTTTAAATACGAATTAAAATGGAAAAACAAAAAGCAAACATAGATTTATGTTAAAAATCTCATATTTAATAATTGACATATGCTTTATTAATTTCACTCAACTCCAACGATACATCGTACAAAAAAAGTAAAAGCGATTTTAAAAGGCAGTTTTATTTTTAAACGTATCTGAAATGGCAATAAAATACAGATATCTGTGTGAAAATGTCAAACTTTTTTCTCTTAAAAAAACGTGAAATTATGTAACTAACTGAATATATTTATTAAAATAGAATGCTAAAATAAAAAAAATATTACGAAGATCTTACGAGTAATATGACAATTTCAAGAGAAATCGCAAAGTTGGTAAACCATCAACTGTGAAATTCGCAATTCCTACTTGCGATGCATTCGCTACACCGTAGATTGTCGTAACTTTCCCATAGATCGTCACAGTTGCAATTTAAGCGGGCGGTTAATGATGCATGTCACGAAAACGCATTCGCGGCGGTGTATTATCAAAGACGCAATCAGAATAAAAAAAAAATATGCTGTTTTAATTGCACACTCTACGCATAATTCAATTGTACTTATTTTAAGAAAAATTCTTCAAGTGGGAGTTTCATAATTTTCGAAAAGAAAAATATAACGTTGGATTAAATATAATGCACGTAAATCAAATTTTTTATATCATGTGTATTTATATCGTGAAATATGATTATTAATATTTTCTAGTTGTACTATGTTATTTTTCTACGATACGATTCCCCTAGTCATTCTGCATGTAAATAATAAAACTATCAAAACATCAACAGCTTATGAAATATTTTATTCTCTGTTTAACACATTTTTATATAAAATATAGAATTTTTACGTAAAATATAAAATGTCAATATTTAAAATTAAAATTAAATATTTAATATTCAATATTTACATATTAACCAGTTCACTGGTAATGACGTATATATGCGCGGAAAAAAAAAGTGCCACAACTGGTAATGACGCATACAATGCGAATATTTCTTCCAATTTTTAACGGATTTGAATATTTTTTCTTGGTACACCCATGCTATTTGGGTCGCTGATTACAAATCATAATTATTAGGTCTTACCAGTTTTGGCACAAAACGTTGATTTCGCGTTACCAGTGAATCGGTTAAGTAGAATTAAATATTTAATTTTATGATATAATATTTAATTCTTGATGATTTAATTTTATGCACGATATAATAAGATAAAATAGTGAATGTAAAAAAATATATAATTGCATTTAAAAAAGTATGTAACAGCACATCGTAAATTGCACACTTTTTTTAAATACCATATATATTTCATGCATTACCTATATTTTATAATAATGTAATATTTTAATTATATTAAAATATACACATACACACGTATCAAATATTATATTATATTTCTTTTAAAAAAATGTAAAGAAAAACTTATGTTTGTTAACGTAAAATTTTTATTAAATAAGATGACATTTTGAAGTAATAAATATTCTACTAAAATAATATTTCTATTAAATTTTTTTATATAAATCGATAAAGAATTATAAAAAGACCAAACTTATTATATACTAAAAGATTAGAAAATTAATTTAAAAAAACTAAAACTGTTAAATGTAAGTTCTTTTAGAAATTTGTCACAATAGAAGGATATATAAAAAACCTGTTTTAATTACATAACTAAATCAAAAATTGAATTTTTTTCCAATTCTTTTCAATATTTTATCCTTTTCTATTTAAAAATTTTTTTTATTACTTTACTTTTCCTAAGCAAAAGAGCCTTTTATCACATTAAAATTAAGATCAAATAATCACACAAATCATTAAGCAAATCTCGATTTTGCGTTTACGAATTTGCTGGATTAAATATGTGACCGCATATAACCAACTTACATACAATTATACGTTTATCCATTATAGACAGTTTGTAGAGTTTGAAATTTATTTGTAAAGATCTTACCTCTTTTACGACACGTTGACACGAAAAAAACTACGATCTGACTGAGACCGTCTTTGCCATGCATCGCGCTGAAGTCTTTGATATTGAAATATGTTTGACAGAAAACCGCTCGAAAGTGGGAGAGCGAATACAAGAAGGGGTAATATTGTGGTAACAGGCAGGTATCTGCGAATACAACTGCGAATACACTTGAAAAAGAGGAAGACATAAAATACATGTAAATCTCATAATTATTCCATTTTAACAAGAAAATGTAATGTTGGTCAAGGTAATAGGAATTGAAAAGTTAATGATTAGTTAACAGTAAAGGGAAAATTTCTAATCATTCTTTTAACTCGTATATTACAAAAACGACAATACATACAATAATACGAATATATGCTAAATAATCATATATTCGTATCATTCTTAAATATTATTAAATTCATTTCATTTTACTACATATTAAGATCCACTCGAGGATTCGTACCATTTCGATTTTTTCAAATTAATTCCTTTCAACTTATTTCTATAATTATTTAGAAGCTTATTGAAGTTTGCATCATCTGCATCAAATTTCTTTGTTTGTTTTACCTAGAAAAAAAATAACATTAGAAATGTGTTATAAAGAAAAAGAAATGAAGAAATAAATTAACAAGTTCGATATAATTGAAGCTTGAAAAATTAAAATTAAATATAAGATACGATGAAATACATAAGAAATTAATATATATCTTACTGGCATATTGTCTTGCTTATTCTTTGCCTTCTCTTTCTTCACAATGTCCAATTGCTTAATCGTTTTACTCATTTTCTTCTGCTTCTTCACAGCCCGCGTATGTAATTCGGCTTGTGACTTGAGATTGAAATTCGATCTTAATTTATCCTGGCCTAATTTACCGGTCGTGCCCGCATACGGTTTATCATCTGGATCATTTAATTTCCTGACTTTAACTCGTTTAGCCGAAACTTCCTTCTTGGTGTCTTCATTCTTCCTCTTATTTTTATTTCCAGGCCACAAGGGATTGTTCTCGCGACTTTTCTGAACTCTTCTCTCCTTCGCGTTTACCAAGATACGATTCTCTATCGAGAATCCGACTATAGGTCTCTATATCAAATTTAAAAACTCATATATAAAAAGAAAACAATAATTAATAATCAAAATAAATTTATAATCTTACTCTGCTTTTGGAGAATATATTTGGATTGTTGTTTATACTTCTCAAAGCTTTAAGCGCGTCTTCGTGAGTGGTAAACGTAACAAAACCATACTCCTTCGACTTTCCTTTCCCAGTCGCGTCAACATTTTTCAAATCACGCATAACTCGCGCCTAAAAATTTTAAATAAAATTAACGCCTATATAATTTCACATACAATTAGAGAAGTGACACTTTTATTATTTTGAATAAAATTACCTCTTTAATTATAGCTTTAGAACCGCTGTGATTTTTAAATAACTGTCTAAGTTTTGCATCATCGAAATTGAGAGGTAAGTTATGAACAGCTAGCCGCACCCGCGATACGAACATATTCAAGTTACGCAACATCTGTGATTTCCATTTCTCTAATTTCAGACGTTTTTCCATGTCGGATACTGATACTTCCGCCGCAGCTGGACTTTTGGCCAGCACAACTGCAAATCAACAACGGCGATGTTAAAATTGCCATACGTAACATAACAATATTTTGCAGTCAGATCATTACCTCCTTCCTTAATGAGATACAAATTCCTAGAGTCTTTCATCCTGTTTTCCTTTAAATTCTTTTTATCTTCAACTTCTTTTCTGTGTAGTGCTTTGTGAGTATCGAGTATTTGACCACGCAAACGTAACTCAGTGCCAGCTGACAAACATTTTTCGGCATCTTCAACATGCTACAATAAAACGTTTCCCATGTAATCATAATATTGACAAACAAGACTAAGCCGTAAAAGGATTTAGAATATCCGAAGATAAATTAGCGACTCTTACCTGAAATTTAACAAATGCGGTGCCTCTAGAATACTCGGTCAGAGGATCAATGCACACGAGAGCATAATAGACAGGCCCAAATTGCTCCATGCACTTTTTAAGTTCCTCATTTTTAACAGAGAACGGTACGTTCTTTAGAAAAACTGTTTTTCCTTCACTGACATCATTAGACACTCGATTTGGACGTTTCGCAGATTCGGAACGAGTCTCTTCCTCGTCACTATCTTCTTCCTTCTTAATAATCGATTTATCATCGACGTCATTATCATCATTACTGTCATCACTTTCATCTCCATTGTCAGTATCCTCTGCTTCATGCATTTTTTCCTCTTCATCGGTTTCGTCCTCGACTTTTATACTGTCCGTAAGTATTGAAACTTCTCTGGAATTAAATTATAAAAGTATTTAAAAAAAGAAAACAAAATTGAAACAAATATTTTGAGAAATATATATTAAATAATATTCATTTACATTCTAACACAATTAAAACTTTTAGATACCTATCTGATTCAGCATCCGAGTCATTAACTTCATTCTCACTGCTGTGAGATGCTTTTATTTCTGTAGCATCATGTACTTCATCGTCGTCAACAGGCTCAGTTTTGATTTCTGGTTTCACGTCTTCACTGTTTTCAGAAAATTTTGTTTTAGGAACAGCCCAGTCGACTATCATGGGCCTGTTTGAAAG